CATACCACTACTACTACACTACTATACTACTTTACTACTACTACTCATACATACGACTACTACTACTGACTACTACTCACTACTACTACTATCTACTACGACTACGACTTTAGACTACGGACTACTACTACTTACTTAAGTACTGACTACTCTCCACTTACTACTACTACTACTACTACTACTACTACTACTGATTTTCTACTACTACTACTACTACTACTACTACTACTACTACTACTACTACGACTACTACGACTACTACTACTACTACTACTACTACTACTACTACTACTACTACTACGACTACTAGGGCTGACTTCCTTCTGGTTGCCCTAATAATATGGTGTGCCGCGGACGCGCCGTGCGCGCTTCGTATATGTTTCGAATACGTTTCGTGTGTGCTTCGAATATGTTTCGTACATGTTTCGTATACGTTTCGCGCATGTTTCGTAAATGTTTCGTACAGGTTGCGTATATGGAGTGTATATGGCTCGTATATGGTTCGCATTTGTGTTGTATATGTTGCGTATATGGTTCGCAAATGTATCGTAAATGTTTCGTATAGTTTTCGTATATGTTCCGTATATGGTTCGTATATGGCTCGTATATGTTTCGTATATGGTGCGTATACTTTTCGTGTATGTTTCGAATATGTGTCGTACCTGTGTCGTAGATGTTTCGTACATGTTTCGTATCTGTTTCTTATATGTTTCGTATATGATTCGTATTTGTTTCGTATGTGTCTCATATATGATTCGTACATGTTTCGTAGATGTTTTGTGTATGTTTCGTATATGTTTCGTATATGAGTCGTATATGATTCCTATATGTTCCGTATATGTTCGTATATGACTCGTGCACGTTTCGTATATGTGTCGTATACGTTCCGTATCCGTTTCGTGTACATGTCGTATATGCTTCGTATATGTCTCGTATACGCTTCGCATATGGTTCGTGCATGGTTCGTGTATTTTCGTGTATGTTTCGTATATGTGTGTTATATGTGTCGTATATGTTTCGTATGTGTTTCGTATACGATTCGTATATGGTTCGTGTTTGTTTCGTAGATGTTTCGTATACTTTTCGCATAATGTTTCGTACACGTCTCGTATACGTTGCAAATGCGTGTCGGATGTGCTTCGAATGTGGTTATTATATGTTTCGTGTATGTTTCGTGTAAGTTCCGTGCATGTTTAGTATGTGTTTCGTACATGTGTCGTATACGTGTCGCAAATGTTTCGCACGTGCTTCGTAAATGTGTCGTATATGTTTCGTATATGGTTCGTATATGTCTCGTATGTGTCTCGTATACGTTTCGTATACGTGCCGAATGCGTGTCGAATGTGTTTCGAATATGTTGCGTATATGGTGCGTATATGTTTCGCAAATGTTTCGCAGACGCTGCGTAAACGTTTCGTAAATGGTTCGTAGATGCTTCGTATATGTTTCGCAGATGGGTTCGTATACGTGTCGTATATGTTTCGTATATGTGTCGTATACGTTTTGTATACGTTCTGTATACGTTTCGTATACGTTTCGTATATGTTTCGTACATATTTCGTATATGTCTCGTATACGTTTCGTATATGGTTCGCATATGTGTCGTACATGTGTTGTCTTTGTTTCGCATGCGTTTCGAATACGTGTCGTGTATGTTTCGTACATGGTCCGTACATGTTTCGTACATGCTTCGCATATATGTATTAATCGTGTATGCTTCGTCTATGTGCGTGTACATTTCATACATGTGTCGTGTATGTTTCGAATATGGTTGTTAAATGTTTCGCGTATGATTGATATATGTTCGTATACGTGTCGTAAATGTTTCGTCTATGGTTCGCAAATGCTTCGTCTATGGTTCGTATGTGTTTCGTGTATGTTTCGTGTATGTTTCGGGTATGTTTCATATATAGTGCATTTACGTGTCGTAAATGTGTCGTATATGTTTCGTATATGTTCCTTAAATGTTTCGTAAATGTTTCGTGAATGTATCGTGTATGTGCCGTGTATGTTTCGTATATGGTTCGTATACAATTGGTATACGTTTCGTATACGTTTCGTATATGTTTCGGAAACGGTTCATATATGTTTCGTGTATGTTTCGTATATGTTTCGTATATGTTTCGTAACTGCTTCGTATACGTTTGGTATACGTTTCGTTTACGTGTCGTTTACGTTTCGCATACGTTTCGTAAATGTTTCGGATACGGTTCACGTTTCGTGTATGTTCGTTATAGGTGTCGCAAATGTTTCGTATATGTTGCGTATGCGCCAGGCGCGCCAGGCGCGTCGGGTGCGCCAGGTGCGCCAGGCGCGCCAGCTGCACCAGGTGCGCCAGGTGCGCCAGGTGCGCCAGGTGTGGCAAGGGCGCCAGGTGCGCCAGGCGCGCCAGGCGCGCCAGGTGCGCCAGGCGCGCAAAGTGCGCCAGGTGAGCCAGGTGCGCCAGCGGCGCCAGGTGCGCCAGGCGTGCTAGGCGCGCCAGGTGCGCCAAGTGCGCCAGGCGCGCCAGGCGCGCCTGCGACGCCAGGCGCGCCCTTGGGCAAACAGACGGAGGTCAACCCTACTACTGCCACTACCACTACCACTACTACTACTACTACTACTACTACTACTACTACTACTACTACTACTACTACTACTACTACTACTTCTGACTACTACTACTGACTACTACTACTACTACTACTACTACTACTACTACTACTACTACTACTACTACTACTACTACTACTACTACTACTACTACTACTACTACTACTACTACTACTACTACTACGACTACTACGACCACACACACTCCTATTTATTATTAGTTTAGTATTATTATTACTACTACTACTATACTACTGACTACTACTACTACTCCTATCACACTACACTATACTACTACTACTACTACTAACTACTACTACTACCACTATTACTACTACTACTACTACGACTACTACTACTACTACTACTACTACTACGACGACGACGACGACGACTACTACTACTACTACTACGACTACTACTACTACTACAACTACTACTACTACCTGTAATACGAACTACAACTACTACTACTACTAACTACTACTACTACTAACTACTACTACTACGACTACTACTACTACTACTACTACTAGCTAACTACTACTCCTACTATACTACACTACGACTACGACTACGACGACTACTACTACTGCTACTGCTACTGCTACTGCTACTGCTACTGCTACTACTACTACTACTACTACTACTACTACTACTACTACTACGACTACTACTACTACAACTACTACTACTTCTACTACTACTACTACTACCACGAGTACTACTACTATTACTACTACTACTACTACTATTACTACTACTACTACTACTACTACTACTACTACTACTACGACGACGACGACGACGACTACGACTACGACTACGACTACGACTACGACTACGACTACGACTACGACTAGGAACTACGACTACGACTACGACTACGACTACTACTACTACTACTACTACTACGACTACTACTACTACCACTACTTCTACCACTACTACTACTACTACTACTACTACTACTACTGCTTCTGCTGCTGCTGCTGCTGCTGATGCTGCTGCTAAAGATGACGAGGACGAGAACGACGACAATTACGACGACGACGACGATGAGGACGACGCGCCTACTCGATTGGAAATGTAGCGAACTGTCTTGCAATTCCTGCAGGGTAGCCAAAGAAGATTATGCGATGGGAGGAACAACCACCCAACAATATCCAACACAGCGAACAACAGCGCACAAATCATTCCACGCGCGGCCAACTATGGGGAGCTCTTTCTGCGCACGGTCACCATAGGAAGACGGAGACCACGATGATCGCGACGACGACGACATGGGCGAGGAGACGAGGGCGACGACTATCACAACGACGACGAAGACGCCGACGATCACGACGAAGACGACGATCACGACGACGAGGGCGAGAAGGGGAGGGCGAGGAGGCGGACGATTATTCCCAGTCGAGAGCTCAGGGGGGTATTAACATTAAAGACCCTCATCGGTGTGCTTCTCAGCGGAAACCACGCAGACTGGCTGGCGCTAATTGTGACTGGCCGGCTTATCGCACGAATAATCACAAATCTGACCTTATATATACTGTTCAAAACTCGTTGAATTCAGCAACGGAAAAAGAAGTCGCCCTATCTCCTTTCCTCCCCATCCGCACGCTCCTGCTCCTGCTCCTGCTCGGGGTACTGCTGCTGCTCCGTCCTCATCCTGGACACCCACCCGCCGACTGGTCGAGCTGTCAAGCCCGTAGCCTGCTACTCAGTTGGATTCGCATGCTGCGCGCCGACTGTGTTCAAGTGGACGTGGGCCACGACTGTCTGAGCCTGTCTGAAGAACGTGTGCATGTGCGATGCTAGTATGGCTGTCAGGAGCAGGAGCACCATGCAGAAGTCCAGCGCGGAGAGCACCAGGACCTGCTCCGTCTGAGTCCCGATCCAGCCCATCAGCCGCACGCTGCGCGCGATCGGGTACAGAGTCCACAGCACCAGCTTTCCTCGCAGCAGGGGCCGAGCGAGGTACTCGAAGCCCTTGCGCAGCTGCAGCTCGACGGCGAGGCAGATCATCGCGCAGGACGCCGCCGACGCCACGGCGAAGAGGCCGGTCCAGAAGAACCGGTCAGGGGCTGCCGGCATGAGGGCTCCCGCCAATTGTGCGACGACCGCAGAGGCCACCATCCGTCTCATCTTGCCGGGGGCGACCTCACAGCAGGCCTGCGCGAACGAGCGCCACTGCATGGGGGTGCTGATGGGGAGCAAAACGTGTACACACACCCCACCTCCCCGACAGAAGGAAAGAGCAGGAAGGGAGCAGAGGCGGAGCGAGCAGGCAGACTCCAAGAATGTGTCGCTCGTGTTGGTTATTCGCTTTCGAGGCTGGTGGATGCAAGTCGCACGAGAGGGAGCAGATGTGCTGCAATAGCGCTCCCTCGTCCACAATGGACTCTTGACGCAGCACTTCGGTGAGACAGGCGGGGATGGGCAGGGGTATGGGAGCTGCATGCGGGGAGATTAGGCATGTATACAATGATGGTTGCTCCCCGGCTGAACAACCAGAAGAGGTTTCGAAGCCCAACATGTGGCACGCCAGTGACCTGTGGCACCACGAGCAACAGAAGTTCACCACAGTAGTGCGCGATATACAGGTACTCCAGAAAGTAAATTGAGCTAATGAAAAAACACAACTTGGCTGCAACACGAGTGCACACGGGCCACCCTGGATCACGGCCTGCGATGTTTGGAGCCCTGGCACTCAGCCTCACCATGAACACAACCAGGCCGCCCGACAAGACAGTGAGCACACCGAGCGCCGTGGACGCAAACAAAAACGGCAGCCTCTCCCGGCATATCGCCTCCCACGCTTCTGTCGGAGCAGGGCGAATTGAGACAACGGCAGCTCCAAGTCGGCCTCCAGACCCCTCCAAAGGGTCCAAACCTACCAGTTCTCCGAACTGCGTCCAGCCGTGGCGCCGGCGACGAGAGGCCCCCCCCCCGAAGGCCAATCTACGAGAACGGCGCCAGTGCACCGCACCACGTCGGAACTCCGTTCAGGCCCCGCTCCAACGCAACACGGTCCACGTCTGTTTCGAGTCTGAGGACCGATACTCCGGATTTCGTAATAAATGCAGGGGGGTCTCATTTCGGGGGGGGTCTCTTCCAGGCTATCTTGGAGGGCCTGGGGGGGTCTGGGGACGATGTTTTGGAGGGTTCTCCCATGGGGGGAGGTCTGAAATGGCTTGTCTTGGACGGTCCAGACCCCCTCCCTTTTATTACGAAATCTGGAGTAAACTATGCACCGTATCGTTCCTGGGTCGAGAATCGCTGACGCCTCGGAGGACGCCAAGCGGTACGGTGCACACAAGTCGTCCGCGGACAACTACTCACGAAGCCTCGTCTCTATCAGGGGGGTGTAATGACCGACGTTTTCCAACCGCGCCCGAGTGTAACCGAAATGGTGGGTTCGAAACCGGATAACATTGTCAGTTCTGGTCACAGCTTCTCGTCACACCATTTTTTCTGTCGCAGTTTCGGGCACGTGCTCGGCGACATCATGATCTGCTCGGTCACACAAGCATTTCCGGCTGACAGAGGCCTGGCCATCGCTCGGACGTCCATTCCCTGTGTTTTTGTTTCGGTTTCGTGCGTGGTGTTTTCGCTAAATGATCGAGGATGATCCTCGATGGTCCTCGCCGAAGGAAAAATGCACACGTCCGAGCGATGCCAAGAGGCCACGCGCGCCATGGAACCAACGCTGTCTGAGCTCGCCCTCCTCTGCTTCTGCCAGAGGCGGCGCCCGCGCCCCCGCCGCCTGGCAGGATCCGTCAGCACCGCATCGGGAGATCGGAGCGGACCGAAGTGTGCGTCGCATCGGGCCGCGTTCCTCCTCCTCCTCCTCCTCCTCCTCCGCCTCCTCCGGTGCGGAGGCGGAACCGAATAGAGTCGGCGACGGCAGGGCGCGCTGCGACGCCATGCGAGCACCGGGCCACGTCGGATCGCCCGAACGTCAAGATCGAAGCCGATCGGGCCGGCCGGAGCCGGCATCGGATCGGATCGGTCGGATCGTTATACAGTCGGGGCCTTGACCTAAGGAACCCTAAATAAGGAACGAGGTCCCTTTTTTCCATAAGTTAAACTTCGATATCCCATTGAAAACACAAGGAAAACCTGAGGCAAGCTGTGAAACAATTAAGGAACACGGAGCCCCTTCCACGACGAAAAGCGTTCCTTCTTCAAGGCCCCGACGGTAAGGCAACTCACGGAAGCTTGTGGTCATGCCGCCCACAGCGCTCAGTAGCGCGCCTAATCGCGCGCAGAGCGGGCGTGATGCATCTGCCTCACATGGCGCTATTGGGCGCCATTGGGCGCTACTTGAGCGCTACTTGAGCGCTATTCGGCGCTCCTGGGCGCTGCTGGGCGCTACTGGGCGCTGTCCGCCGATGTGCACCCAATCCAAGACGATCCGAAGCTACCATCTAAGAATCGAGATGGACCCTGCCTGGGAAAGCCAACAGCTACCAATAATACCGCTAATCCCCTGACCTTTCCTGGGGCGCCTCCTGACCAGGACTCCGATGCGCATCCGTCGGTGGCGAGGAGGGCCCCCCAGGAGGCCCAAAGAGAAAGGGAAAACGAGGGAAAAGGGTCGCGGTCTGGGCAAGTACTTTGTTCCTCCTCCGACCGCCTGGGATCGCCCGGCGGGACCGGCTGGCGGCACGGCAGCCGGCGCAGCGGCCACGGCGGCGGCCAGCGCGGCTGCGAGCGCACCGGCCACCGCTGCCGCCGCGAGCGGCCGCGCGCCTCGGCCCGCCCGGGCCCCGGCGGTGCGCCGAGCGCCGGACGGCATGCGGGCCACGGCGGAGAGGAGGGAGGAGGGAGGAGGAGGAGGAGGAGGAGGAGGAAGAGGAGGAGGAGGAGGAGGAGGGGGAGGAGGGGGAGGAGGAGGAGGAGGAGAGGCTTCCCTTGTGCGGCAGCTCGCGGGAGCCTCCCGAAGCAAGAGGGTGCTGCGGGGAGGTGCCCTGGCCCAAGGCGCCCCCAGGACTTCCAAGGAGGCCCCCCCGGGCCTCCAGGAGCACCCCTCACGAGGCTCGGAGGGCCCCAGGGGCTCCAGTGGACTTCCAAGGAGGCCCCCACGGCCTCCAGGACTTCCAAGGAGGCCTCCAGGACTTCCAAGGAGGCCTCCAGGACTTCCAAGGAGGCCCCCACGGCCTCCAGGAGCACCCCTCACGAGGCCCGGAGGGCCCAAGGGGCTCCAGAGTGGAGCGAGAAGCTGGGGGGCACCTTGGGCCGGGGGCACCTCTAGCAACCCCCCGGGAAAAAAACATTTTGCTCGAGTAGCAGTCAAACGACCCCGAACCCTATGGGAGAGGACCTGAGTCAGGAGGGCCCAAAACATTCGGGATAGGGGGTCTCCTCTGAAGACGTATCCAACCAAACCGCCCACATGTAGCACCCCGAACGCAACGACGAAGACCTAAGCGAGGTCAGGTCTTCACTGTGTTATTAGGGTTAGGGGTTCTCTTATCCTCGATGATTGCTGGCTCTGGCGAATCGACGCTAATCGGCGCTGAACTGGCGCTTCCTCAGCGACAAAAAGACGCTTGCACACGCCAATAAATACACGCCACAGACGGAGTCAAGAGGACGCACAAAGCCCCCAGGAGTTGCTACCGAAGCTTCCCAAGACGGGGTCGCAGTAGCTTGATGACTCGATGACACAACAGCAACACACATGTTGTAAGCAGCGAGTGCGAGGGCCAACACTTTCGGGTAGCCAGCAGGCCGCGCCTGAACGAGGGGCACACAGGTGCGGACATGGAAAAAGGAGTGCGGCCGCGGAGGAAGACTGCGGGAGGAGGCCTCAAGCGTGGAGCCTTCGCCACGAGGAGTGCGCAGGCGGCCTCAGGAAGCATATCAAGACTTTGCGCGCTCCGTCCCGGCTGCCGGCGAGAGGGGCAGCACCAGGATCCACCGAAGAGGCCAGCCGTGATCCGCTGGGCGGCAGGCAAGATGACGTTGCTGAGCCGTGAGCGTCGTATTATCCCGGCAAAGCAACCTAACAGCGATGTGTAGGAACATATCTGGAAGCATTCCCCTTAAGATTCAAATGAGAATCCAGTTGTAGAATTCTGCTGTTCTCGCAGTCGTAGTCGCATTCGCGATGACAATCGCAGTGGCAACGGCAGTCGCAGTCACAGCCTCAGCCTCAGCCTGCCTCAGCCTCAGCCTCAGCCTCAGCCTGCCTCAGCCTCAGCCTGCCTCAGCCTCAGCCTCAGCCTGCTTCAGCCTCAGCCTCAGTCTGCCTTCAGCCTCGGCCTCAGCCTCAGCCTGCCTCAGCCTCAGCCTGCATCAGCCTCAGCCTCAGCCTCAGCCTGCCTCAGCATCAGCCTGCCTCAGCCTCAGCCTCAGCCTGCCTCAGCCTCAGCCTCAGTCTGCTTCAGCCTCAGCCTCAGTCTGCCTTCAGCCTCGGCCTCAGCCTCAGCCTGTCTCAGCCTCAGCCTGCCTCGGCTGCAGCATCAGTTTGCTTCAGCATTGAAAATGTGGCCCAGGAATGGAGTTCTGGGAACTAGAAGAGCACGAAGTGGCCTACAGTTGGCTCCGGGCATTCAAAATCATGCCCACGAATGGAGTTCTGGGAAGTCGAAAAGCACGAAGTGGCCTACAGTTGGCTCCGGGTATCCAAAATGTCGCCCAGGAATGGAAATCTGGGAAATCGAAGACCACGAAGTGGCCTACAGTTGGCTCCGGGCATCCAAAATGTGGCCCGGGAATGGAGTTCTGGGAAGTCGAAGAGCACGAAGTGGCCTACAGTTAGTTCCGAGCATCCAAAATGTGGCCCGGGAATGGAGTTCTGGGAAGTCGAAGAGCACGAAGTGGCCTACAGTTGGCTTCGGGCACTCAAAATGTGGCCCGGGAATGGAGTTCTGGGAGGTCGAAGAGCACGAAGTGTGTGACTGTTTGCTTAAAACGAGCCCGGCCCTGAGCCCGGCCCTCGCTGTCCGGATGCCGCCCAGACCTCCCTTCTGAGTCATCAGATGCTCTCTTTTGACACCACTAGAAACCTATCAGTCTTCGCTGCTAGGTAAAAAACACCCAATCAAACCTGCAGGAAAAAAGGAATGGGGAAGGGAAGGCGATGAAAGCGCTGTAGACATTGGTGCGAGTTGTCAGACCCCGAGGGGGACTCCCGCTCGAACGCGGACCCCCATCCGACAACACACACCCCATCCCCCCCAGAACTCCACCACGAGAAATCTACAGGTCGCATGGGTATGGGTGCTGACCTGGACGTGGATTGGACTACCACCCCATGCCGCTACCGACCACCCGGTGGCACAACGTTGCACATCGTCTTCGTGGTCCTCCTCATCTCCTGGGCCTCTCCTTACCAGTTGGTGGCACCCGTTGCACTTCGCCTACCTGGTCTTCCTCTACCCCTCGGGCGTCGACCTGGTCACGTCCCTCCCCTTGCAGCACTCGAGGATGGTGATTCTTTCTGACGCGCCGTTGACGGCAACCTCCGGGACTTCGCCTCCGGCTTCTGTCCAAGGCGTACCTGTTCCTGTGCAAGCTCTTCGGCACCGCCTGCACCCCGCACCCTTCGGCCGCCCGAGGCACCGCCCGCCCGCGCCCTGTCTCCCCAATCAGTGCTTTGCGCGCCCCGCCTAGCTCTTAACCGGAAGAGGCCCGCTCTCGACCCGCAGAAGAAGAGAAGAGAAGCGCCGTGCACGTCAGAGGTGCGTAAGTGAAACAGCAAGTTCCGCTGCCGGAGGCGCGGCTGCGAAACAAGAAGACACCGTGCAGACACCGACAGCGACGACGGCGGCGGCGAAGGGGGGAAGGCCCGCTCTCGACCCGCAGACCAAAAAAAAAATGGGTGCTGGTTGCCCGTTCATGCGTAGATGGGGTCGGAAAATCGCGCCGCATCGCCGATGCATCGCGATGCACCGGCGGCCTCGGCGATGCATCGGCGACCTCGGCGCGGCGAGCATCGGGAGCCACATCGAGCCGCATCGCCGACGCACGGACGATGCGGCGGGATGCTCCGACCGCGTCTGCTTGCACCCTCCTCCTCCTCCTCCTCCTCCTCCTCCTCCTCCTCCTCCTCCTCCTCCTCCTCCTCCTCCTCCTCCTCCTCCTCCTCCTCCTGCCCCTCCCCCTCCCCCTCCTCCCCCTCGCCCTCCCCCTCCCCCTCCCAACGTGGGCGCTCTGGAGTGCCGGATGCTGCCCAGGGCCCCTCCCCTCCCCTCGCGGCGCCAAACCCCATCTCCCCTCGCTGTGAAAGAATCACCACGGGAGGTCTTTGGCAATTTTCGGCCTCCGTGGGGTCCCCCATCTCGGGGGGGCGTCCAAGAGGGGGGCGCCCACGAGGGGGGGGGGGGGGGGGGGGCAAATCCGCCGACCCCTTGGGGATCATCGGCGTGTGAGATACTTCCCCCTCCCCAAACCCCTCCCCCGGGAACCCGGTCCGGTCGATTTGGAGGGGGGGGGGGCCGACTACGAGCGACTCACGACGCTCTTCCGGGCCCAAAAGGGCCCAAATACGGGCCAAGAAGGCCCCAAGAGGCCTCCCAGACTTTCCAAGAGGCCCCCTGACGCCCCAAGAGACCGCCCAGACGCCCTAAGAAGCGCCCAAGAGGCCCCAAGAGGCTTCCAAGACGCCCCACGAGGGCTCCAAGACGCCCGAAGAGACCTCCAAGACGCCCCAACAGACCTCGAAGAGGCCCCCGAGGAGCGCCCCAAAAGGCCAAAATCGTTGATTGTCATTGGCGTTTGTCGATGTTTTCGTAATTTTCGCCTTTTCGGCCTTCC